TGTAACAAAGTCTCAGAAGCTTTTAAAGAAAACTTTAATTTTCTCAATAGAATTAAATTAAAAAGACAGAAAATAAGTTTCTAAGTTCCTGTTTCCTTCTCGGCTTGTTTTTCCACAGTCCACGCCTTTTATGAAATATTTCTCTTGTTTTTAAAAAGTACAAAAACCTGTTTAAAATGGAAAAGCAGATATTAGTTTTATTAAAGGCTCATCTAATATTTAGCCGGACTGTGGGATGAAATGGCTGTTTGGATTTATAAGGCTGCAGATTTAAAATGAACCAAATGTCTAATGCTGCGTTCAGACTGTAAGCAGCAGGAGCAGCTGGTTTCCATGCAAAGTCACTGGTTGACCAGCATCAACACCCAGCAAAAGGTTAGAGCAGCGTGTTTAGAGCAGCAGGAGAAGCGCCTCATGAGCTTCTGAGGTGAAACATTGACCTTTATCTGCTGGACACGCCTCATCAACCAATGAGAGAAGCTGATCTGGGAGCTGGCAGGGAGTCAGACGCAGCACTGCTGATGCAGAGCGCTATGATCACTTCTCTGAAACAGTTTATTAACGTCTGAATTAACTTCAAATGTAAAACAAAGTCAAACCAGAGCAGATTGGGACTGAAAAGACAAAAGTTTAATATTTTCAGCTGAAAATCATTTTCAAGACTTAATCCTGAGGATTTTTAACTTTGCTGTTCTGAACCGTGGGCTGATGGACGATCCAGGGACGGTTTATTTAGAGACAGTAATCCCTGCATATATCGCTACCCGGCTGGATTACTGTAACGCCCTTCATTTAGGGGTTAGTGCCTCTAATATTGCTCAACTCCAGAGCGCTAAACGCTGCAGCACGTCTTTCATCCTTCACTCGTAAATATGAGCAGATTAGCCCCATTTTAGCCTGATTCCACTGGCTCCCTGTTCATTTTAGGATTACTTTAAAGGTGTTTTGTTTTTAAGTCTCTCCATGGTCTTGCTCCATCTTATCCAAGTTGCTGCACCTTCATACACCCGCCCGTTCACTCAGGTCAGCCAATCAGCTGCTTCTTCAGGGGCCAAAAACTGAAGTGGTTCTCTGTGGATCCACCTTACATTGCAAATTAAATTGTTTAATTCTTTGATTTTAAATCGTTCTTAAGAACCAATCTTTGCTTTGGCTTTCTAAACTGTGCGAGAAGTTGATTTTAGATTGTGATACATTTTAAATTTTATTTTCATTATGGAAGAGGATTAGGGCCACTGAAAAAATAAAAAGTTAAGTTTAAATATTACGGTTTAATATGGGGAAAAAAAAAATCTCAGAATTCTGACAGTTAACAAACATGTTAGCATCAAGCCGTAGCCATGTCTGTTTTAGAGACTAGCTCTCTGGTTTTAATGACCTTCTGATCTTCCATAAATCTAGAAATAAACCCTTAGGCACAGAAATAGTCTAATTCCATCATTTCCCACCAATGTGTTCCTGTTTCTCCCAAACTACTGAAGCTGAGTGCTCCACAGCTCTGCCTTCATGGCACCCATCTACATCAAGATCCACAATTCTGAGATTAAAGTCAGAATTCTGACTTTTCCTCATATTATACTGAAATAAAGTAAAAAGCAGTTATTTTTTTAAGTGGCCCTAATCCTCTTCCATAGATTATAGATTTAATTTTATCTTTTATGCGTCTTTGTTGTGGTGTTTCAGTGAACAGCACTCTGGTCCTTGTAGAAATTTTAAAGTTCTTTATAAATAAAGTTGGACTGTAGAGGGCGCCATCGCTACAGGGAAACGTTTCCAGCTAATCACATTTAAAACAAACCCTCAGAAAACAGGCAGACTGAGGCCATATTGGACCCAGACGGTTCCGTTCAGGTCCATTTGGAGCCAAATGTCTGAATATCTACGGGTTTTAAAAACTCAGAACCAGAACTTACAAATGTAAAAACTTATTTTATTACATTTCATTAAATAAACGAGCATAACCCCCCCCCCTTCCAGAGAACAGCCTTAGTGCAGTGAGATCTGAGGTTCATCATGGTGACCAGAACTCTGACCCGGTTCTACAGTCACTTCAGAACCGCCTCCAACGGAGGCCGCTTTAAGGAACGTCCAGGTGAATCAGGAGGCCTCCAGCAGCCAATCAGGATCCTTCATACCTCTGAACAGGAAACAGTGTGAGGGGAGGGGGGGGTGACCCGACCAGTCATCTGACCCGCTAACAGGTATCATGCTCGGATCAACGAGTTCAGAACAAATAAATACAGAAAGAAAAGGGGAATTTTCTGACCCATTTGGATCAGAACCGGAGCTCCTTCAGTCCATAAAACACATAAATAAACATTTAGCTTCTTCTGGACCCGGTCCAGCGGCCTCACTGGGTCTTGGCCTTGTCGGCGCGGCGCAGGTACGTCTGGTAGAAGAAGTTGGAGAAGAGCAGCAGGTAGCTGAGGTACATGAGCGTGGCCCAGGTGATGTTATCGACGCGCGACGGACAGTCGCCCTGCTGCATCCAGCGGTAGACCAGCCCGCTCACCGTCAGCCCCATGACCATCTGGGCGATCTGGGTGCTGGTGATGAGCACGGCGAAGGGGCGGGGCACGCGCAGGCCGGCGGCGCGCGCTGCGTAGTAGCTGTACATGAGGGCGTGCACGCCGTAGTTCATGGTCATGAACCAGCCGCCGCCGGCCACCATGTCCTTGTAGGAGTACCAGGAGTAGAGCAGCACTGTGATGTGGTGGTACCAGTGCAGGAAGAGCAGCTTCTGCTTCCGCAGCACCACGAAGGCTGTGTCACCTTGGAAACGGGACAGAAACCATCGTTAGCCATGACTCAGCAGGTCAACCTCAGAACCACCCGGTCCTCGAAACGCCGGAAAAGTTCTGATGTTTGTTTTCAATCTACCACCAAACATCCAGAACTTCCAACCCAGTAGAACCTCCACCTTGAAGGTTCTGATGGGGTCCGAACCCCCAGGATTACTCACCCAGTTCTGGAGCTTTGCTGAGGACGAAGGCGTAGGCCCAGAACTTGCTGACGGGTCCGTTGTAGAAGCTCTGGTCACAGATGGAGCATCTGAAGCCGCTGGACCTCAGGATGTGGATCATGTAGGAACCGGTCCGAACCGCCCCGATGATGCTGCCAACAGAAATGATCCATCAGAACCCGGAGAGCTTCAAAAGAATGTTTGATGACAGAGGTCAGAACCGGTCCGACTGCCGAGCCCCTGCCCTGCCCACTGGCAGCGCAGGACCAGTCCGGCTTCCAGTGGAACTGAAACCTGGACCCGTTTGGGGCGGGGGGGGGGAGCTGGTTCCAAACTGATGGCTGCACCTCCACCCGCTCCAAACAGACCACACCCATCTAGCAGGTGAAACTGGTTTCCATGGAGACGCACAGCAGACATTCTGACTCCTCAGGTCAGGAATGCATGATGCAATGCAAGGCATGCTGCTGGTTACCATGGAGACTGGTTCTGGCTGGATGGACTTTGGTTGCAGCAGGTGCGCTGCTCCCACAGGTCCCGGCAGAGCCGTGCAGCTCTATGCTTCTGGTGTCTTACCTGAAGATGGCCAGGCTCAGCGACCAGAGCACCAGCGGCAGCCGCAGGTTCAGTTTGGGTCGAGGCTTCATGTAGTGCTGGCCTCCGAACACCAGGGCGGCGTAGAGCGCGCTGAACATGAAGGACTTGCTCCTGCAGGACAGAAAGACATTGATGTTAAAACCCAGATGGTTGGGAGCCGCTTCAACCAGCAGGTTCTTCTCCAGCTGCTGGCCTTCATAAGCAGCAGCTCTGGGAGAACTGCTCCACCGTAGGGACACTGAGGAACGTTATCGCAGATCCTTCCTCCCTGCAGGCCCGATGACGGTTCTTAAAGCTTGGCTCAAAATCAAAGTGACCTTTAGATTTTTCCAGCATCTTCTCCAACTTTAATTATTTTGTTTTTCATCTTTCATCAGCCTGAAGGACAATAAAGAACATTTCTACTGATTGGTTCTGAGATGGTCCACCTGACAGCAGTAACCATGGAGACCATGATGTTTTCCATGGAGAACCTGTTAAACTCCTTCTCCTCTGGCTCCACCTTGTTGACCGACTGATGTCACACCCAAAGCGCCATTAAAGGATCAGTAGAAACTGTTTTTAATCCTGTTCATCAAAGTTGGGCGGGTCGCATACCTGAACTTCCAGAACATTCCCTCTTGGTTTCATCATCATGGCCAGGAACCAGACTGACCTGATCCACGAATCATAACAAACCGTGCCTCTGACGTCACGGCGTCACCTGCACTCCACCTGCAGCCTCCCTCTGACCACACGTGTCAACCCAGGCTCTTTAATCCGCCCCTCCCCAAACTCCATTCATAAATCAGACCGGTTCCAGATTCGCAGCGGATCTGAACTCTGATAGATTTTCAACAAACGAAATTTAAAGTGTTTTTGAATGACTGACATCAGATCTTCTAATCGGCTGAATCAGATGGCAGAGGAAGATCTCTGGAGTCCAAGAAACACGCAGAACGCATGACTGGATCATTGAATCTGTGCGTCTGTAGCAACAGTTTCACTGGACTGGTTCCCATTAAAAACAGACCAGTTTCAGTGAAACTCTGCTTCAAAACGACCCGTTTGAAGAGAAATGGGTCAGCCGGAACCACCCTGGACCGGATGGGTTTCCGAACCTCCCGAATCGCTTTACACAGATATTCTGAATCAGAGAGATTATCGGGATTATTTTAAATGGCGGGTTTTCTAAATGGAATCTGGGAATTTTTCATCTTTTCAGATTAGAAAAAAAAATCCCGCGGTGTTCCAGATGTTATCGCTCTTCTGGGTCGTTTTAAAGTCTGTCGGTACCTGAGGACAGGTGGGTTCTGGAGCAGCTCACCAGTTCTCCTGCATCCACCGGATCGCTCCGCGCTCATCGAACCGCCTCTCGAAGCCGAACGGGGACGGCAGGAGCTCCGTGTCGTTCATCTCCATCATCTTCACCGAAACTTTATTTAGAAACTCAGCTGAAAGCCTCTTCCTCCTCACTGTCTGCCCCTCACCTGCCCGCTGCTTATAAAGCCTAGGGGGCGGGGCCTACAGGTGAGGTCCTGGATCAGATCAGAACCTGCAGAGTTTCTAACAAACATCTGAGCTGGAAATAAAGCTGGAGGTGTTTCTATCTAAACTTTATTAGCCAGCTTTCCAACTTTATTCTTCATTTTTAATATTGTGTTTATTTGAATCATTTTTGTTCGCTTTAATTAATCGTTTTTATTGTTTTTTTAATTAGATAAAATCTGCTGTTTACTTCTGCATAATTAGAACCAAAGACTGTATTTCTGCAGATGATCTGTAGAGAACATGGAGGGACATGGAGGGACATGGAGGGACAATAATAAAAGTTTATTCAGAAAATGTAATTTATGGATGAATGAATGAATTCAATGTGGGTGAATGAATGGGGGTGGGGGGATAGTGGGTTGGAACATTAACTGTTTAAATGTCCTTTGCTGTGATTTATGTTCATTTAATGTATGATTACAGGAAGAGGAGAAGCCATCTTAGATCTGCTGCAGATGTTTGTTGTCTTTAGTTGTGCTGAAATATTTCAGAGGGAAAGTAGGTCAGAGTTGCTGGTTTGACAGAATGTGCAGAATGTCAGGCGGGTCCAACCTTCAGAGACCTTAACGAGGAGCAGCAGGACTCAATGAGGTCAGCGAGGAGGAATCCAGGTGAGACCGGCTAACCAAACAGAACAGAACGGCTGCTGTTCAGGTAAACAGTGACGTCAGAACCAGGTAATGGAGACCAACAGGAAGAGCAGGCTGAGGAACACGCTTCCTCCTGGAACGCCGTGACCTCCATCAGACACCTTCATCTCAGAGCTCCACCCTGACTGGTTCCAGGAGTCTAGAAACCTGCAGCTATACTGGATCCTGATCTCCAGGCGTTTCTAGAGGACCAGGACGTCCTCAATCATCTAAACTTTGCCTCAGAGATTCAGGAACTGGGGCTGTGATGTCATCATGATCACAGATTTTTTAATTGTTAAAGATAAATTCCTTAAAACATCAGAGGTTCTGGGTCAGTTTATCAGAAATCAGTGATTATTGATAAATAATCAGGAAACTGACGGGAGTCACATCAGTGACATCATCAGGGAACTTCTTTACGGTCCTCAGAGGTTCATCCCCTGATCTCTATTCAGTGGATTGCTGATTGCCCAAAAAAAAGTGAAGCTGCCGTCCGCCATATTGGTACTCCCCACTTCCACAGAGATGCTCAGTAAAATGCCTCCCTGTTTAGCATTTAGCTGCATAAACCAGCAGTTTTCTGTCTGCAGGAAGACGTTCCACTGGTCATTTCCCAGTCAGTGGATGAACTAAGCAATAAATCCATCTATAGCCGATGGATCCTATAGTTTAGTCTGTAGACTAACATTAGTCTCAGACTGACTGGAAGACATTGACTGAGTTAACCACTGACATTGGGTCTAAGGTTAGAAAATAGAGGAAATATCAAGTAATTCACTGTGAAATGTTAATGCAGTCATTCTTTATTTACCCCATTGATTTTCAATGGTTACCCCTGGTATACAGCATGATGCATGCAGTACTTTAGAAACATACTACAGCAGTAACAGACGCGTACTTGTAATTCAGTATTGATGTAAAATCTTCAAATTAAATGTAATAACCATAGCAATATCATCAGTAGATGTCTATTTGTCATTTGTTCCTTATGTTCCTAACAGAGCACTTCGCTCTCAATCTGCAGGTTTACTAGTGGTTCC